ATTCTGTTTTCTAAAGGTTGACCGAAGAAAAAGGTGCAGCTATGAAGGTGAGCCTACGAAGCTGTCGTACCGGAAAATCTCACCGCCATAAGTTTATATTTTTTGACTTTTTTCGGCCAATCGAGACCCTCTAACGTGTTTTCTCGCAGGGATGAGTATAAAATTGGTCAAAATTAGCCAAAATAGTAGGGTTTTCTAGCAACCACCGTCGCATGCGGTAGTGCCATCGCTGGAGCACGGTGGTGCCACCGTACTGAAATCTTGAAATTGGCTAAAAAAATATTTTTAACACCGATTTTGAGTTTTTGAGGTATTTTTAGGTACGTGAAACGTGCTTTGATCTCTGTGAGAAAATTCAAAAAACTTGGGGACCGCCAGTAGGCACAATAGAAAGTTCGGTATTTTGGATACCGATTCGGGTAAGAATCCATCACTTTATTCTCTGTTATGGAATTGAAGCTTAATAATCGATAATATGGTATTTTGTATAATTTGAAAAACTTTGAGAATAATTGCAGGTTACTAATGGAGACAGAACCAGTTAGTTATTTATTTGTCATGTTTAGCTAATGATTGAATTTACAGCTTTGAATGCATGATGATATACTGAAATGGTTGAATGATTCAATTGTGCTTCTTTGATATATATATATATATATTGTTTGTCTTGTGTGATTTACGGTTGATTTGTGAAATTGGTAATTAATATGCAAAGGAGAAATTATTTGGTCATGTGAATTAATTAATGGTAGCCTTACTGGATATCTTGGGAGATGATGGATAGACCGGGTACATAAGAAACCCTACCGTGAACGTTACTTCAAATTGGACAGGGTATTGAAGGATGATATTTTTAGCGCTCATACTGGACAGGATATGGGGACGACCAGTTTGTTGACAATATTTAATATATAGGGTTCACCCATAGTGAGACATCCATATGGGCCCATAGGGATACCAATATGCAAATAAAAATAGAAAGTTATTATTCTTACTCATTTAAATATGAGGTTAGAATATTATTTGAGTTATTGTATTTATAGGTCGATTTTAGAAATCTCACAACGGTAAATATATGCAATAAATGGTTTTTCTTATAATAAATGAATTTACTTAAATCAAGAGCTCCATTGGTTATTTTTATGATTTTTACCAACCTTCAGTTTCTGTATCGATGAGTAGTGTGATATTTTTCTTGAGTTAGTATACTTCACCTTTTCATTAACTATTTCATATCAATAGTATCAAGACCCAGATCTCGATCAACAAGAGGGTTGTGAATAGATCATTACCCGGACTCCCTTTAAAAGTTAGTGAAGGTCGTCGTAGAATAGTCAGTTATTAATTTTTTGTTTATTTTCTTAATTTTCGTAATTTTTTTTAGAATGAACATTCTGGTAACCCTATTGGGCATTCTAAAGTATTGTATAAGTAATGTATACCCTAAACTCTATTATTTCGCTTCCGCATTTAATTCATGATTTTATTTTCTTTTAAGTTCCGGGCCTTTATAAGAAATTTAAGCACATTTAGCCTTATGATTATACATACATAAAGCTAAGGTAATAAAAGATGAAAAATTTAAAACAAACCATGGTTGGAAATATATAAAAAGTAGATTATAACTAATTTTTACATATTAGATAAGAAATATAGTGGGAGTAAATATTATAGAATATATTGAAATCAAATGTAATGTCAATGATAGGACAACAAGCACCTTTATTGAAGTTTAAAATACAACTTTATTTAAAAAACTATAGTAATGATGAATTTATTAAAAAAATATGTATATAAGTTAGTTAACATGAGCATCATATTAGAATAAAATATAATATCAATTAGAGATAAGTTTACATTTACATAGATAAAAGTTTATTACTTTAACTAGAACCTGGTGTGGATGCTTACTATATTTTTGGGATAATGGATTTACGCTTTACCTTTTAAATTATGAGTATTAACTATAGATTCAAATGAATCATCTGATAATAAAAATAATATATAATCTATAACATGAAAGATAATGACCATTAACTAATCAAAATATGGTCCTCAGAATTCTTCAAGTTAAAGAATTAATCATAAAGAATATTTCATCAGTATTCAAAATCTAATACTCATTGTGAGTTCTCATAGTACATTTAAGTTTTATCTTTAGAGTCGGACGCCATAGACTATCAAAGCAATAACTAATGTTTTATTATTCTAATAACCTTGTTGAGAATGAAGTATTACTTTTAGGTATTCACTTTTGTAGTTTTTTCTATACTCATATCCTTTTAGATAGTTGATATTTTTTCATCTAATTTCCCTTGTATTCGTCGGAATCTTGTTCTGTGCCAAGATTAAATCTTTAAAAGATCTAAAATCATTTTATTAATTTAAAAATTGTGATGTAGTAGGTTCATTATTCAATATTTATATAAATAAATTGAATAATTTTTTTTTTTTATAATTTCAGAAAAAAAAAATTAAATTTACTGTGGTTCTTTCTTCTATATAAAACCCACTTGATTAATTAATTTATAGAGTTTTTAACTAGCGATATATAATATTAATTAAATTTGTGGATGTTAAGATAATTAGTTAGTGGGCTGAATTTTTTTAATTTTATTTTCAAATACCTTAGTTTTTAGGTTATTATTAAATACCGTTGACTAATAGAGTTAATTTGCTTTTATCTGCATTACTTTATAATTTGCTACATATCTAATAAATTATCCTTCAAGAATACTTACCAAAATCCATTTAGTTTGGTATCAGAACATTAATGAAAACATGGCTTTTTGTTGTTTGACTTTTAAAGACTTGGATGATTATCTGTTTATTTAATTACTGATTACTAGTTAATAATTTAATTCATTCGTAATTAATTTGGCTTTGTCACAACACTCGTGTGGCAGGAGAAAGAAAATTAAATGTGTGGTTGTCCAATACATCAGCAAACATAATATATACATATATATTAAAAATAATAAAAAATCAGGTGAGATATTAATTCATTATTTTTATATTTTATTCTAAAATATTTATTTTATATTAATTTATTAAAATTACATTTAATTTAATTATTACAGTCTTATTAATATTTTAATAAATTAAATTTAATATTATGATAAAATTAACTATCAATCAATAATACACATATAATAATAAATTTTATATGTATGACTTAAAAAAAAAAATTGCTAGAAATTTATTCAATACAAGTGAATCACACATAAATGTTACACATATATTGTTAATATATGTAAAAGCATATGTTAAAATATTAAAAATAAAATAGGAGTAGTTTAATTTTTTAGAAGGATCGGTGATTTAATTAAATTTTTTTATCTAATAAAATAATATAATAATTTGAAATAATAAATATCATCAAGCTGAATTATTTCACATTCTTGTTCATATATAAATATATATTAAAGAATAAATGTTGCTTGCCAACCATTGATATCATAGTCTTAATTGTATCATATAATTTGTGAAAAATTAGAACTTGCTTAGAGAAGTTGTATTATTTGCTTATCAAAGATGTGACACATCATTATCCTTTCTGCAAAAGAAATTACAATTAAGCCAGCTATTTAATTGGTGGCAGAATATATCCCTTTTCATACTCATTAACTCAATATATATATATATATATATATATGAAGATCCTCATTAGAAACATAATCAAACAATATATAGATATATATGTAGCATATAGGTTTATATTTTCTTTTCAAAATTTCAATTAAAAAAATTATATTGTGTCAAATAATTAGGATATGCACAAATTAATTTTTGTGTGAGAGAATGAATACTACAATACAAATATGAGTAATAGGGGGTTTTTTTTTTCTTTTATATTATAGTTAAATGTAAATTTTATTTTATCATAAATAATAATATAAAAAATATATATAAATCAGTGCAGTGTGATACTTCAATTTGGTCCTTCCACAAGGAAGTGACAAGTCTTAAACTTTGGATCCAATGATTTATCAAACTATTCTCTGCCTTGGGATCATAGATGTATGACTCCATCATTATTGTGAGATTCACAGTTTTACATCTTTTTGTAATTTTAATGTATATTTTTTTATACTTTTTATTTTTTATTTAAATTTAAGCATAAGTTTATTAAAAATTACTATTTTTCAATTTTTTATACATAAACTGAAAATTTTAAAATTTTGTGTACTAATTAATTTTTGAGTAAAAATTTATACATCTTATTAATTAAATAAAATATAAATATTAGTAATGATGTAATATTCTAATGAGTATATATTTAACACTAATAAGAACAAACAACATGCACAATCTCTAAATGGAATTCATGTTCTCAATAAAAAAAAGGTGGAAATACCTTACCATATACTAAATAATGATTGGTAGCATAAATATTTTGAAAGGTCAAAATTAAAAATAATTATAGAGATAAAAAACAAGCAAACAAATGAATGTGAATTTAATGCCTTGTTAAATTTGAAATAAAAAACAAAAAATGGTATGAAAATAAATTACAACTAATTTTAGAATGAACTTAGATTTTTATTGTAAATTTTTTTATGGTAATAAATTTTATATCAAACTAAAATAGTAAATGCCAGATTCTATTTAAAATTTGAAGATAATTTTTTAAAATAAAATTTACTTTTAAATAAGTTCTTTAAATATTTTAAATTTGTTTGAGTATGACGGTAGATATTAATTTTTAATTATCAAATTTCAATATCTAAAAATAATAATTAGAAAATATATAATTTAACTGTAAAAAATGAGAGATCATTTCTCTTACAAGTTTAATAATGTTAAGACGTAAGCGACGTTGACAAGAAGAGAAGAAAGAAGACCCAAACGAGTAGAAATGATCTTTCATTTCAGCAAGGACTGGTTTACTGCAGATAAGAACATTAGTTTACTGCAAATAAAGTTCCAGCACCGAAACAGCTAATCTCGGCTGGTGTTTAATCTAAAATATGAAAGCTTTTGAGCAAGGAAACTGTTATTATGAGAATTAATGCCTTTATATGTATAGCAATTAGCAATTATGGAACTCCCTTGAATTCACTCCCATATATATATATATGTATTGTGTATGTATATCTATATCTAATATATATAAATATGTCCACAGCAACAATAGCAACAAGCACTATAGCAGCAAAGAGGACTAGGTAACAGAACAACTCAAAAGCCGAGAAAGCAAAGACTTACAACCCCAAAAACCCCACATTTCCGTCATCGCTTTTGCTTTATTTCTTGCTCGCAGAGAGCCAGAAATAACAGCCATAATAATTACTGGGGGTTCTGGTTCTTCAGAGCCTTCAATCGGAAATCATGGGTTGCTGTGAATCATCATTTGTAACGGAAACCCACCCAGAAAGAGACCAAACTCAGCAGGAGCCACAGCAACAGCCCCACCAACCGGCGCCCGCTGTTGGCGGACCCGATAGCGACGATGTCGGCGGAGGGGTACGGCCTTTCTCGGAGTTCTCCTTCTCGGACCTCAAGGCCGCCACCAATAACTTCAGCTCCGACAACGTAGTCTCCGAGGGCGTTGAGAAGGCCGCCAATGTTGTCTACAAGGGTCGCCTCCAGAACCGGCGCTGGATCGCTGTCAAGAAGTTCTCGAAGATGGCCTGGCCTGACGCCAAACAGTTTGCAGTATGATTTTTGTTGTTTTGCTTTACTGATCCATTCATTTTGATTCTGTGAAGTCGTTTGTGGGTTTTTGCTGATAATTTGTGAATGGGTATTCCTGAATTTCATGTTCTGTTTTCTGTATTTTTTAGGATGAGGCTCGGGGAGTTGGGAAACTAAGGCACAAGAGGCTAGCCAATTTGATAGGGTATTGCTGTGATGAGGATGAAAGGCTGCTCGTTGCTGAGTACATGCCTAATGATACTCTTTCCAAGCATTTGTTTCACTGTATGTATTAGAATATTTTTTTCTTATTTGACTCTCTTGTTCACTAAATCTTGGTGGAGCTTTTAGGTCAATGCAAAGAATGCCAGAGTGGGTTTTGTTGGTCTATAGGTTTTTTATGATGTTTTAGATGGATTTTTTCTCTTGAACCTTGAGATACGTGGTCTCTCAGAATCTTTGATAAGAACATGGTGTGAACTAGGGACCGCATTGTTGGTTTATGACACGAATTGATTGGCTGAATAGTTTTTTTGGTCTAGTTTACTTTTTGCCTTGAGTTTCTACTTTGGTTCAGAAGTTAGTCCTGGAAGTTGGTTGATTCCTAAGGTTCCTTTTTTTTTTTTCCTTTTCCAGATTTGTTAGCCTTTTACAGTCTATGTGATGGCTGATTTAGTCTTCCTGTAGAACATTTACGGTTTCTTGCTTCTTAAAATATTTGACATCCATCTTTTAAAATGTAAGCTAACTTTATTCATTTGAAACTTGAATAAGCTATATCTTTGATATTAATGGCGTAATCGGAGTATTTTATCTGGGGTCAGTATTCCCAGAGATTCACTGGAATTTCTCTTCAGCTTATATACTTGCAAGTGCATTTTTATTTAATGATTAATAGATTTTTTTTAGGTATCTAGCAGTTGCATTATTGTGGATTTTTGTTTAAGGAGTGTCAACTTCAGAGAGTATCATCATCCACTTTTGTTTATTTAAAATATTATGCAGCCAATTA